TCTGCTGGGGGGGGGGCGGGGCGAGGCAGAGTGCCGTTACCCCGGCTGTGTGGCAGGCAGGGCTGGCTGCGTCCCCTCTCAGCCCCACGTCCCCCAGCCAGCATCGTCTCTCCGCAGGCCGGACGGGCTCATGTACCAGATGTTCAGGAACCAGTTCCTCTCCTTCTCCATGTACCAGAGTAAGTGTTGCCACGTGTGCTGCTACCGCGGCTGGCCTCGGGCGCGGAGCGTGCCTGCCCGGCTCTGCGACATGTGGAGACTCAGTTGTAGCTGCTCGCAGCTCTCGGCTCACCTGGCTTTTCCCTCGGCCTCTTTCCACCACCCTGGCACCGGGACAGTCTTTGTGCGCAGCGTGATCTCGCAGCTGGGCTGATGCTGGGGCCAGGGGATGGTGCCTGGGCACCTGCTGACGGGAGCCACGCTCTCCTTGCAGGCTTCGTGCAGTTCCTCCAGTACTACTATCAGAGCGGGTGCTTGTACCGGCTGCGAGCGCTGGGCGAGAGGCACAACATGGATCTGACTGTGGGTAAGCCGGGATCTTCCCTTACTGATTGTCCCAGTCCAACTGGACCTGCTGTTGCTGCAGGGCCCATGGCTGCTAGCAGCCTCCCTCCCAGCACCAGACTGGTGCTCAGCTAACTGGGAGCTGTGGTTTCTGTCAAAAGGCAACGGTGACAGTTATTTTTGTTTCGAGGTTAGTTTGACTGTGGTTTATCAGTGGCAGAAACGGTAAAAGCTACAAATAAAGCCAAAGCTCTGAAAGCAGCATCTCCCCTGAGGCAGCAGCATCCCATAGGCTGGATGTCCCCCTCCTCCTGCTCTCCTGGGGCCGCCGGCCCACAGCTGGCTCCCTCGGGATGCAAGGTAGCAGCGGATGCGGCTCCTGGCATCGGAGCTTCCCCCAGGAATCTGCTTCACAGACAGAAAAGCCTCCCTTCAACACCCCACGTACTTGTGGGCTGTCGCCTCCCTGGCCCCTGCGACACCAAGTGCTCGGGCTCGGGACAGCAGCTGCGGGCGAGGGCAGCTCTGTGACAGCAGCTTCCTGGAGGGGCCCAGGTTAGCCCAGGGCTAGGAGTCCCTGCCGCAGCCCTCCCAGTGTCTACAAGCGCCCACAGCGAGGGAGGCTGCATTAGCCTGGCAGGACCTTCTCAGCCAGGCATGGGGTGGCCACTAAACCTCCCTGCCCGCCACCTCAGGAGCTGGGCTCTGTCCGGTCCCCCAGCTAGCATGTCCTTGGGTCCCCATAGCAAACCTTCATCCTTTGCAGAGGGCTTCCAGTCCTGGATGTGGAGAGGCCTCACGTTCCTGCTTCCCTTCCTCTTCTTTGGGCAGGTGAGTGTGCACAGATCCTTGCGGGGACCTGCAGGAGGCCAGAGCCTCAGGCGGGAGCAGATCGTGCCATATTCCCGGCTCCACTTGGCAGCCTGGACATCACACAGGTTCCCGCAGGCTGCTGCGGCCACATGATACAGATGCCAGGGGCACAGAAATGCTTTCAATAAATGCTGAGCCTTTTCCTCCAAAGCACCCACCACCTCCACGACTCAGCTAGTGAGATGGGGAGGACCTGGGGTAGTTCTGCCAAGTGCTCAAGTGATTTGCAAAACACAGCAGAGGGGCTGGCTCCGAGAACCCTTCCAAAACCCTCCTGAGCTTCAGCTCTGAGCTGCTGTTGCTGAAGGTCCAGTTCTTCTTTGGTCAGATCATTTAGGCCGATGGCCAAAAGCAGTAGGCTGGTCTGAGGCTTCCTCCCGGCCGTTGGGCTCCAGAAGGTGGCAAGAAAAGGGGAGATGTCTCAACTGGGGTCCTCTGGGGACGAGTCCTCTGGCCTCGAGCCTGGACAGGGTTTCACTGCGTGCTGGGGCAGGCTGGCCTCGTGCGAGGTCTGCATGGGGTCTGTGCCCAGAGGAAGCAGCTGGATGAGCCTCTGAAAGCAGAAACTCCCTTCAATCTCCTCTCACCTGCAGTTCTGGCAGCTCTACAATGCCATCATCCTCTTCCGCATGATCCAGCACCCAGAATGCAAGGAGTGGCAGGTAAGGGGGCTCCCAGGCAGCTGCCCTGGGGAGGGGGATGCCCCAGGCAGGTCCCTCCCTGCTGACTCGTGCCTCTGCGGCTCCCGCAGGTCCTCATGTGCGGCCTCTCCTTCTTCATCCTCTTCCTGGGGAACTTCTACACCACCCTCCGCGTCGTCCACCAGAAGTTCCAGAACAAGAACAAAGACACAAAGCGGAATTGAAGGGTGGCAGCGTGGGGGCCAGGACTGTTTGTCCCCACCAGCTCCATGTCCCATCCCCATCTCCTCGATGCCGTCCGGACTCTGGTGTCTCACCATTCCTTGGAAGCCTGGGTGTGGGACAGAGCTTGGGGCCCGCTCACGAATAGACCACGTGTTCACTGCGGTGCTGGATCTGTGCCTGAGTCACTCACCTGGAGTCAGGAGCACCCTGCAACTTCTTGCCTGTCTGCTTTCCTCCTCTGGGAGAGCAGGGTGCCTGGGACAGCTGCTCCCCTTCCCTCTGCCCTGAAGACTTTTACTGGGATGGTTCTCTGGGGTGAAGCCCAGCTCTGCTGGCACTCCCCACCCCGCTGTGGGCAGGGGGCAGCCCGCGGTGCCCGGCTTGCATCAACTCCCTTGGGACAAGGCAGGGTCCAGGGCTGATACCTGCCTCTTACAGAGCTCCTGGGGTGGTCGAGGCTCTCCGCAGCCCTGCAGCCAGGGCAGCCCCTGCATGTTGAAGGCAGAGGTAAAGAGGCCCTCGCATTTCATGGGCAAGCAATCGCTTCCCTGGCTGCCCCGGCAGCCCTCTTTACTTTCAAGGGCAGCTGGAGGCTGTGAACAAGTGCTGGCTTCCAGGGGGTCGTACCCCAGTTCCTCCTTTGCCTTCAAGCTGCAGGGCAGAGGGGGCTGAGGTGGGGGAGCTGTGGCACTGGAGGGGTGGGAGCACCACGAGCCTGAACTAGGCTTCACGCTGGAGCTGTGCAAACAGCACCCTGGTCTCGTGTTTCTGGAGGATGCACACATAAAAATAAAGGGAAGGTACTGCCTCGGGTCACCAGGGTGGTCTCAGAACAGCTTGCATGCTCTGCTCTGTGGTTTTGGCTCATCTGACAGCGGGCCCCTGACACAACATGTCAGGGTGAGGGAAGAAAAGCCAGCTCCAAGTGCCCCCACACCAGCCTGGGGTGCAGGGTGCGGTGGGGACAGGAGGGCAGTGCTGCAAGCTCCCTCCTGTGGCACCCCCTGGCCTGCACAGCCCCATGCCACGGGCTGTGGCCAGAGCTTTGGCCACCCAACGAGCCCAGCGGGACTTCAGTGTCCCTGCAGACCGGGGGAAGAGAAGCCCTGTACTACCACCAGGAACTCCTAAAGCGTTGGGAACCAACCAGCACGTCTAGCACAGCTGTGCCTCAGCCCAGAGCCATGCGTCCTCACCGCCCTGCCAGGGCTCAGCACCCCAGGGCAAGGGCTGCCCCCAGCCCCAGCTGAGCCCAGAGTTGCCGCCTGTTCCCCAGGTCTCCTCCTGGTTTGCAGCCATTGCTCCTCCTGCCTCCCTCTTCCCTCTGGCTGAGCAGAGAGAGGGCAGGAAGCAAACTACAGAAACAGTATTTTTATTCCAAGGGCAAATGTATTTAAATAATTTACAGTCATTGGACAGCCTGAAAGGTTTGGTTTTGTTTTTTTTTTCCATGATTAAATCACAAAGATGTTAAAATAAAAACAGTGTTTAAAAAATGACCATACACAGCATGAGGGAGGGGCTGGGCACAGGGGAGCTGCCGGCTGCAGGACCCC